ACTTAATTTAAGCAGAAGTTTTTCTTCCTTTCCCCAAAAAGTAGCACACAGTTCACACAACACAGTTCACAATTTTGTTTTTGTTTTTTTCCTTTAATGGGATTTCTTGGCTATCTTTCCATATCAGTACATAAGAGAGTTCATCTTTCACCTGACATTTCACATGACATTTCTTTGTCTAGATTATAAGCAATGTAGCAAGGAATACCTTGTACATACAGCATCTCACACACAAGTATATCTGTAGGATAAATTTCCAGGAGACAATCTTTGACAAAAAGTATGCACATTTATAATTTTGATATTGCCAAATTGACTTCCATAGAGATTGTTCCAGTGTACGTCCCCCCAAGTAATTTCTGAGAGAGCCCAGGTATTAATTTTGACTTGGTTTCTGAGATGACTGCTCTAGGCTTTCCTGTTTAAGATACCACAAGATGTATTGTGGTTGACACCCCAGTAGCTAGCCCCTTAACCACTCCTCCATCCCCGTTAAGGACTGCCTCATGGCTTAAGGGAGATTGACTCTAGGGGAGACATCTTTTGCCCCTCCAACCTCCCCTTCATCATTCTCTTCTGCCTCAGGGAGGCAGTCTCCAACTGAGAACTGCATGCAGTTTCTCAGACTTATCTGTAAAGTCACATCTCAGTGCCTTTGGTCATATGGTTCCCACCTCCTGCCCTGTCCTCCCACCCTTCTCAGTCTGGAAAATTCTGACTCCTCCTTCAGGACTCAGCTTAAGTGTTGCCTCTATGGAGGCTTCTCCGACAGAACCAGCCTCTCTCTCCCTCCTCTGGTGTGGTACCACAGAACTCCGGTCAGCTCGCCCTTAGAGCACATTTGGATCACCAGGTGAGGTAACTGTTTGTTTACAAGGCTCTGTCTCTCCCAGCACCCAGCCCAAGTCAGGCCCACACTTTAAACTGCTCTGTAACTAAAATTAAACTCACTGGAGAGGCAGGATGGCATAGAAAGGCATGGAAGTTGTGGGAGTTGGACTGGATAGGACTCCATCCTTTGTCCTCTTCCCACTTCACCCTCCCTTGTTCTCTGTGCTCTAAACCACACTGGCCCACACTCCTTTCCCACTTCATGGCCCTTTATGTGCCATTTCAGCTGCTCTCCTCCTGGTTTCCTCCTTCATTGCCCAGCTTAATTAAGTCTTACTCCCTAAGAGAGGCCCTCCATGGCTGCTGAGCCTAAAAGCACACCCACTTCCAATTCTAACATTCTCTAGTCATTCCCTTCGTCAATTGACCATAATCCTAGTTCTTATGCTGATTTGTTTATCAGTTTGCTGCATGTCCTCCCCCATCAGACCTTCAAGTCCTTGAGGGCAAAGACCTTGGCTTATTCACTGCCATGGATCCAGGGCTAACACAGGAGCTGACTCATGGTAAGCACAACAGAAATCTTTATTGACTGAATGTTGAATGAATGAACAAATGAACAGGTTCAAACCCCTTCTCCATCACTTCCCAGCTTTGTCCTTGGATTAATTACCTTCTCAGAAGGGTTCCTCATTTGAAGATCAGAAGTTTCAGGTAGTAATGTGTACCAGTGATTGTATCAAATGCCAGATACATGAAAAGTTTCCATAAATGGTAGCTATCACTTGTTTTCCTTTCTTTTACCTGAAAAATTCATCCTTTCTGCCAGGCTTAAAGACCTTGTACATCTTTACAAAGAATTTCTTTCTTTTTTTTTTTTTTTTAAATTATTTATTTATTTGACAGACAGAGATCACAAGTAGGCAGAGAGGCAGGCAGAGAGAGAGGGAGGAGGAAGCAGGCTCCCTGCAGAGCAGAGTGTCTGATGTGGGGCTCGATCCCAGGACCCTGGGATCATGACCTGAGCTGAAGGCAGAGGCTTTAACCCACTGAGCCATCCAGGCACCCCTACAAAGAATTTCTTATTGAGGCGTAGCAAATATATAGAAAGAACACATATCAATTTCTCTCTCTCTCTCTCTCTCTCTCTCACACACACACACACACACACACACACACACACTCACTCATGTATTCACCTCCCAAATTAAACAGAACATTCCAACACCGGGGTAAGTTTCCATGTTAGCTTCCCCCAACCAATGACACCTATTCTTTCCCTTCTCTCTTTGATCTGAGATCATGGCATGTCCATTCTTCCCTCAAACTATTTGACTCATTTCTGTCCTCATTCCTCTTTTCTAAAAACTCTAGCTCTTTGACTTTTCCTGCACCAAGCCAGAGGTTTTTAAAGTAGAGGACATGCAACCCAGTGGGGTGCAAGGTGATGCCTGCGATTCTACTCTTAGGTATATGCCTGGAAGAACTGAAGATAGGTACTTTTTTTTAAAAGATTTTGTTTATTTATTTGACAGAGAGAGAGAGAGAGATAGTGAGAGAGGGAACACAGCAGGGGAAGTGGGAGAGGGAGAAGCAGGCTTCCTGTGGAGCAGGGAACCTGCCTGATGTGCCCAGGCGCTCTTAAAGATAGGTACTCTAATACCACATGTATACGCATGCTCACAGCAACACTATTCACGATGGCCTAAAGATGGAAACAGCCCAAATGTCTATCAACCGATTGTGTATGGTGGAGTATTATTCAGCCATAAAAAGAAGTTACTGATACATGTCATGTGGATGAACCTTGAACACATGCTAAGTAAAAAGAACCAGACACACATAGTCACATGTTGTATGATTCCATTTATATGAAATATCCAGAAAAGATAAATCCCCAGTTATAGAATGCATCTTAGTGGTTGTCAGGGGCTGGGTGGAAATGGGATGGGGAGAAACTGGTTAATGGGTAAGGTGTTTTGCTTTGGATTGAGGGAAATATTTTGGAACTAGAAGTGATTGCACAATACTGTGAACATATCAAATGCTACTTAATTTTTCACTTTAAAAGGGTTAAGTTTATGTTATGTGAATTTCACCTTTATAAGCTTTTTTTTTTTTTTTTTTTTTTTAAATGAAATAGCCACTCTTGTCAGCCGAGAGGTTTGAATGAAGCAGAATCCCTAAGTAAAGTGCGGCAGCTGGGGGCCACCGAAGGAAGAAATGGCCTGGGGTCAGCAAGTGTGGTTGTGCTGCTCTATCCTAAGTAGTAATGATATTACGAGAAGAGATAGGTATAATTACAGCTAACATTTCTATGTTTAATACGAGCCAGGAACTGTTCCAAGTGCCTTACATCTTAAACTCACTAAATCCTTTAACTCTAAGAGGTGGATATGATCACGTTTTCTTTACAGATGAAGAAACTGAGGAACTGAGGTTAAAATGACTTATCTCAGTCACAAATGAGGAAGTGGCAATCTAAATTCGAAACCAGGCAATCAGATTCCAGGTACTGAAGTCTCAACCCCCAGGCTCTGTTCTAAATGCTTCCTATGTTTTATCTCATTTAATTCTGTGAGGTAGACGTTATTGTTATTACTCCTATAAAAAGAAAAAACCCACCAAAAACAACTCTCATGGACCTTCTGTATTCAATGCCCTCCAGTCTTTCCTCTGCAATTATTTGCATGTTGGTCCTCACATAGCCGTCTTATCTTTCTCATATTGCTTCATCTTCATTTTCCTATACTGCACATATTACTATCTGAATTTATTTTATACTTTCTTTTGGTCTTTCATCTCTAGAAGGCAGGGCTTTTGAATGCAGATTTCCCAACAACCAGAACAATGTGTGGTACACAATAGGCTCCCATAAAAATTTACATAAATGAATGCTGCACATTATTGGGTAGTTTTGTGTGCCTGTGTTTGAATAAATAGCATCCTACCATACAAAATGTTCTTACAAAAATATGTCTTGGATTAGCACATAGATCCTGCTCATTTTTTTTTTTTTAAAGGTTTCATTTATTTATTTGAGAGAGAGAGAGAGAGAGAGCCTGCGCAAATGCTGGGGTAGAGGCAGACTCCCCACTGAGCAGGGAGCCCACAAGGGGCTCCATCTCAGGACCCTGGAATCATGACCCCAGCCCATAACTGGGATCTTTTAAGACAGATAAAATCCCATACTGTGGATGTAGCACCGCTTATTTGTAGTTTTCTACTTAATTAACTCACATCTTTGCCAGGGTATCTCTAATGCAAACAATATGGCAATAAACGTCTTAGCACATGCCTGTTTGTGCTATGGGTACACATTTCTTTAAAATTAGTGCCTAAAAGGGGAACTGCTGGCACGAGGGATATACGCATAAAAAGTGTCAGTAGATAACGCCAAACTGCCCTCCCCATAAGCAATCCTGCCTGAATTAGGGTACATAACAGGTTTTCATATACTTTGGACCAGACTGAATATTATCAGTCTTGTTAACTTTTTGCCAAACTGATGGGGAAAAAGGTCCCCTTATTTACGGAGAGAAAAGTGAGGCTCAGAAAACTTGTACGGTCGGGTGACTGGCTGGCTCAGAAAAGCATGAGACGCTCGATCTTAAAGAGTCCCACGTATGGTGTAGAGATTACTTACTTAAATAAGATTAAAAAAAAAAAAAAAAAAGGAAAATTTAGGGACTTTCCCATACAACACATAAGTAGCTGAGTGGCGATTCGAATTCCAACATGCCTAAGGATAGCGCCAAAGCTTTACACAGTATACGGTGCGTCCTCCGGTAAGTCTGATTATCTCCGGGCCTTGTGATGCTGGCAGGCTGGCGTTCCTCTCGCAGGTAAGCCCCGGACCCTTCTGGGAGTCCCGGGTGGCCCTTCTCAATTGCCAACATCACCCACCGAGCGCCAACCTGGACCGGGCCCACAGCAGCCCCGGATCCGAAATGGCGACTGGCAACATCACGAGGCCCCGCCCCCTGGGGGGCGGGGTCAGAGTTCAGACTAGAGTGATAGATGTCCGAACCAAGTTTGCAGCCGAGGCCCGGCAGGCTCGCGCAGAAGCAGAGAGCCAGTGGCGCCGCAGGTCGGGAGGAGGAGCACCGAGTGGAGGGCTCATTTGCCGGGGCCGCCCGAGAGCCTCTTCGTTGCGGGCGTTGGGGCCGCCATCTTAGATGGCGGGAGTAAGAAGAGGACGAGCTTGAGACAGGAAGGCTTTCCTGCGGCTCTCCTTGGGCCCGGAAGAGGGCCAATTGGCCCGGCTTTGGGGCGTGTGCCCCGAGGCGCGGAGCGCGGGTGCGACGATGCGGGGACTGCCCGGGGCCCCGTCCCCTGGGCTAGGGACGCGCCGAATGTGACCGCCTCCCGCTCCCTCACCCGCCGCGGGGAGGAGGAGCGGATCAGACGCCGCCGCCGGACGACGGGACACGGAGGCGGTTCGGCTCCTTCAGGTAGGCGGCAGGGTCGGCCCTGGCTGCGGGGGGATCCGGGCGGCGGGGCTGAAGGGGCAGAGTTCTCCAGCGTCCGGGCCTGGGCGACGTTGATGGAGCGACCCGGCAGCTGCCGGGTGGGGGCCCGGGCCAGGCCGCTGTCACCCCGGGTGGCGCTGGACGGGCGGGAGCCCTGGAGCCCAGTGTCATGGCCGGCCAGCCGAGTTTCCACATCCCCACTCAAATTTCCTTGTGTTTCGGGGAAACGTGCTAGCGCCACCCCTGTACTCGGTGCACATTCCTTATATTTTGGTAATGGGAAAATCTGCCCAGAATAGCCCTGTATCTGTGTTGTCATTCAGGTGGACTAATTCCTTTTCTTTCTGGGCGCGGAGGGGGGGGGGGTGTCCCAGTCTTGCATCTTATCTCAGAGTCCGTCACTCAAGTGACACCCTTATAGGGAGGACGAGAAGAATCGGGGACGAGAGGAGGAAGTGGGTCAGTGCCCCATCACAAAGATATAGGGGGCCTCGCCTTGGGTTTCGGGACTCTGGGTTACTAATGAAAGGTTTGGGATGCGTATACTGAGGTTTGGCCCTGGGATGCTTTGGAATGAAGATCCAGGGCTGTCTTTTGTGTAAAGTGAGAGCCGCCAGGACGCTTGGGTTCTGCAGCTGCAGAGGTTCAGCAGAGCTATTCGATGCCCAGAAAGAGGAGTTGGAACATCATGAGAGGAGAGGCGGCTGTGTTCATTCATTGTTCTCATTTCAGGCTCTGGGTGTGCCCTCTGGTATTCATTTCTCTGGTGGGAAGAATGTTAGGATCCCCTATGTCTCCTTGAGATGTGACCGGCTTCTAGAGAGTCGTTTAATCTAAGTAGGGACGAATTCAGCTCACGTTCGTGGAGTATTTCTGCCTGCTTCGTCCTATGTGGGCTGAGTGGAGGGAACCTGCTCTTCTTTCTTCTCACCAAGGCGTGAAAACAATGCGCTATGATAAGGATGGACTTACTGAGTGTTGTGGGAATTTGGAACAGCTAGTTTTGCCTGGGGGAGTTGGGGAAGCTTGAACACTGGAGGGAACTTTTGCGGCCAGTTTTGGACTGATGAGTAAGTGCTTACCAGGTGAGGAGAGGAGAGCATTATAAGCTGAAGAACCGCTGGTACAAAGGCATAGAGACATGCAGGAGTTGGGATGAGTTTGGGGTGCAGGAAGGAAGTGGTGAGAGATGAGGGTCTAAAAGAAAAGTTGTGAAGGATCTTTGTTGGAGACAGTGAACTAGTTGATTTAATTTGGATTGTTTTAAGTGAATATTCTAATTTTTTCTTGCTGATAACTAATTTCTCCCTTTATGATGTTGAAGCTGATAGTAACTGAAAAGATGTACTGTGTTAAAGCCATTTAAGGACATTTTTGATAAGTGCCTTATGTCAGATGTTTTGCACTTACACGGTGGTGAATGAACTGAACTTCATATTCGTAGGTGTTTTTGTAAAAGATTTTTCTAACCTTTTGCTTGCTCACTAAAATGTTGACTTTATGCATGTAGCGCATGCTGCTAATACTGCCTTTTAAATGGCTGTTCGCAATAAAAACCACACTCCCCAGTCATGTAGAAATTGGAAGATTATTTGAAACAGCTGAAAGTATTTTTAATTTATTGTGTTGTATATTTAGTAAACTTTCTTTGCATTGATTCTGTGGTTTTCAATTTTGTTATAAAGTCTTTAGCTCTATAAACATAATTTACCCCAAATCTCTCTATTGTTGTGATTAATGCTTAAGGTAATGTGATTATTATGGTCTTAACAGACTTTAGCTAGCAGTTCCTGAGTTTTTCTTGGGTTGTGATTACATGCCACTGAAGAACATTATTAAGAGACTTTTGTCTTGTTTTCACCCTTATCACTTTAAGGGCTAAGCTGTTTAAAATGCAAGAGAAACATTTGACCCCGTTGAACACTGGATACTTGGAAAAATAAACCTGTTAGTGTTTCTGCTGGAAAAGCTTATCTTTTAGGTATGTGGTGTTTGTGATTAAAACTTGTAGTGGGGTTGCTTAGCCTTGTTAAAACTTTTGTCAGTAGTTGAAAAGTGTAAGCCTTCAAAGTAGTAGGCTTGAGTGAAATACATTAGAACATATTTTATGGGATTTGGGTTAGCAGAAGAAAACAGGGAAACAGATTAAGCTGGTCATTTGTAATGAAAAGGATCTAAAAGGTGAAAGGGAGAATGGTTAAACATCAAATATTGTATTACAACTGCTCTGAAACTAGTTGTGTTTAGTTTAAAACATGCCATTTGTGAAAACCAAAGTAGGTGGTTTGCTGTGAGGATTAAACAACAACTTCTTGGAAGTTAAATTTCCAGAAGTACTAGGTTACTTATTAAATGGAAAATACAATTAATAACTTTAAATTACTATTTCAAGTAGTTTGTTAGTAGTAGATGTATGATTCTACTACATTCTAATTTCAGATAAAACTTTGTTAGTAACCTGCCTAAAAATAGAAAAATGTTACATGAGGGAATGCTTTTGTTTGCATGTTAGGAACATAATAGGCCATACATAATAATCCTGGTCTTGGGAGGAGCTTGTTAGCCAAACAGCATGCCTTAATGTTGACTTGCAGAAGAGAATTTTAAATATTGCTTTTGAAAGGCAGTGGACTGTGTGACAGGAGGGGGTTTATGAAACCATAAAATCAAACTTGTAAAGGTTTTTTGTTTTTCAAATTGTACAGGTCATGGAAATCATTTCTTTAAAACTAGTTGAAAAATTGCTCACCTTGACTAAATTAATTGGAAGACCAAGGAACAATAGGCTTATTTACGATGAGGTTGTGTAGAATTATAGGTTGTTGTATTGTGTGTGTGTGTGTGTTTATGTGTATGATTGGTTCAGAATTCCTATTTGCTAAACTGACTAGGTGCTAAATGTAACACTACATGTTTGCATTACAATTTAGTTAGTATTTCTGGTATAGGGCTATACTGCCTTGTCTATCATCGACATGATAGTAATGGTGGGGTATTTTATTCTTGCCTTAAAAGTAGAGTAAAAATTGCTTTATTTTGTATTAAAGTTTTCATCTTTTATTTTACAGTGATTAAATCATTTTGTTCCTCCGTTTCTCCCAGAATACTTGTGTAGCTCTCATTGATTTTCCTGGTTAACTTCAGAGCTTTTTAGCTTTTCTTCTAAAATTGCTCCTAAAATCTCAGTTTAACCAAGGAAAATGTCAAGTGGGTGTTGTTTCTTTGTTATTGGTTTTGGCCCAGGCTATCTCAAGTCTCTTTGGCAAATCACTCATAAAGTGTGTTAATTGCTTCACATTCCAATCAGTGTACATAGTTTTTCTTGAGGAACACTTGACACATAGTTTTATTTTTAGACCAGATTCTAAGGGATTTTACAGAGGTAGGGATTAACAATCCCAAAGCTAGTTTCAAATTTTTAAATCTTTGTGATTTTGAGATTGTTGGTATTTTTGGCTAATGAATGGAAAGCAGCGGGCAATGACAATGTTTTAGGGGTCCCAGTATGTTTAAGTGCTGGTGAGGACCTTGTGGATTTTGCTGGTGTCCTCTTCTTCCTCTTTCAACCTGTTGGATTCCATTTATTGTCATATAGTAAAAAGCATAAGTACATTTTACTGTTGGAATCAGGATCTTCTATTTATTTTCTTCCATCCTGCTATGGAAAACAAAAGTGGTTTGACTTCTTTGAAGGTACTTAATACTAGGCATCACAGTTGGGACAGTGTTTACTTTTTTCCATCCATGTACATTTCCGATGGAAGAGTCAGGTTAGTTACTGTTTAACTGTGTTAATATGTCTTTAGAATTAGGAATTTTCGTTCCTTTTTTCTTTTTCTTTCTTCTTCTTCTTCTTCTTCTTTTTTTTTTTTTTTTTAAGTAATCTCTACACCCATCATGGGGTCTCAAATTTACAACCCCAAGATCAGGAGTCGCATGCTGTATTGACTGAGCCAGCTAGGTCTTAATCTGGGTATTTCTGAGGCATCCTTTACAAGCATGGATAGCTTTTAACATCTCTCCATTACCTGGGTTTGGGATGGATGAAATCCTGAATTTTCCCTGGAAGAATATGACTTTTGTTCTCTGTGGCAGATCTCATTGGGAAACTCAGAATTTCTAGGAGAGGCATTTCTCTGGATTGAGAAGATCATTCAGAAAGGAACTACCATTTGCATTTAAGATAATTTGTTTACAGTAGAAAAGACTGGAAAGAGTTCAAATGTCCAACATTAGTGAAATGATTAAGTAAATGGTGGTACAGCCACTTGATGGGGCACTGTACTTGTCATTAAATATGGATTATATGACGCATTGATAACATGGAAAATGTTGAACACAAAATTATGTATCTGGAACGATTACAGTTTTATTAAAAAATACAGTGGAATATCGTTCAGTATAAAAAGAGATGGTGTACTGATACATTGTCCAACATGTATAAACCTTGCAAACATGTTAAATGAAAGAAGCCAGTCATAAAAGACCATATATTTTATGATTCCATTTGTATGAAATGTCCAGAATAGGCTAGTCTACAGAGACAGAATGTAGGTTAGTGGTTGCCAGGGGCTGGAAGGAGTGTGGGAATGGACAGCAACTGTGATAGGGTTTTTTTTTTTTTTTTTTTGGAGGGATGAAAATGTTCTCAAATTGTGGAGATGGATGCACAACTCTTGAATATAAAAAAACCATCAAATTGTACACTTCAAGTGGGTGAGTTGTATGTGAATTACATCTCAAGCTGTTTTGAAAAAAATCTCAAAACCTACACATGGGAAGAAAATACATGTAGGTGTTAACAGTTACTGTTAAACAGTAGAAATAAGAATAATGTTCTTTGGGGTGCCTGGGTGGCTCAGTGGGTTGAAGCCTCTGCCTTCGGCTCAGGTCATGATCCCAGGATGCTGGGCTGTCTGCTGTGTGGGGAGCCTACTTCCTCTTCTCTCTCTCTGCTTGCCTCTCTGCCTACTTGTGATCTC